CAGGGATGCTCCACATCCCAGGTCCTAACAACAGACTTCTTTTTCAGAGGTTCATTGTCAATCAATTAGCCAAGGCAACAGGGGTCGGTGGGATGGGAGTACACAGGGAAACAATGGCTGCCCTGTTGTATTACTATTTAATCACTTTTACTAAATAAATAGAGCAGCCCCGAGGTGCCGTCATGTCAAGGGAATTTCTAACAACAACAACAACAACCACACACACACACACACACACACACACACACACACACACACACACACGGGGGCGGGGGGGAAAGCCTTCATTTTCATTGGTCATTACTTTTTTCCTTCAGGACAAGAGAGGGTTATTACTGTAGCCTTAAGTCCCATCTTTGTGCTTCTTGCCTTTGATTCCCATTCGGACCCTGCCACTTTCTGGCACTAATTTGTCAGGCTGAACAAAGAGGGGATTTGTACCTCCTGTAAGGTCTCAATTAGGAATGGCTTCTGCTGTATTATGTGCCATTCAGAGGAGACACAATGCCGGTAATTACAGGAATTTGCACTAAATGGCTGAAGAATTCACAGCAAAACTTTTCCCCCCTTTGAGTTTTCCCCCTCCCAAGGGCTGGAGGGGAAGAAAAAGGAAAGTAACAGCTCTTGATGCCAGAGATGCACAATCACCAACAACAGTCCCAGAGGTTAAACAGCAGCCAGGGAACAAAACCATAAAAACAGCAGAGGAAAGCACAGGTGGAATCCCTAGGCCCACTCTTCTTCCCTTCCCACACTCAACTCCAGTTCCACTCCTGAGCACTGCCCTGAGTGGGCCATCCAAATCACACCCAAGTTACAGAACAGTCACACAAGGAACAATTCTGAAGGTGAGTATTGTATCCCTGTCCATAGAGTCACAGGCTCTTCAAACTATTGTACTCAATTGCTAGGTTTCTTAATTGCTGGGAAATTACTGTGTGCCTTAACAAGAAAATCATGTATCTGCTGAGTAGGTGCACATGTCAAATTCCTAAAGAAAACAAGCATGTTGTCTTTTAGTCTTAATTTATACGGCAGTTATTTGAATAGCCAAATTTAGAACCACTTATGGCTATGCACTTCATAAATATTTTAATAAATGGCACAATCACCTTTTAAGCATTAATATTTTAACGTCACAGATTCCTCATTGTCAAATACAATTCTGAATTCCAGCCCCTGGTTTCACTAAAGAAGCACACATCATTTTCTATTGTAGAAGCTTTCGACAGAGGCTATATTAAAGCATCCCCAAATAACAGTTCTGCAACGCCTTGTCCAGCATGTACTGCTCTGCTCAAGAACTTTCTGTGGGCTCATGGTCAAACATGAAGTTCAGTTGTATCGAGTGCCTTTTTTTATAGTCCAGAAATTATCTCCTACAGTCGTACATGGCACTACCTACCTCTGAAGGCTCTGGAATCTGGAATGTGGCTGTCACGTCTGTGAATCTGGCTGTGGCTACCATTTGGCAGTTACCAATGTAACTATTTAATAAATGCAATTTGGCTTTCCTAGCTCCTACAGTCTAATGAGGAAAGGGGCTACATCCACATTTCTAAAGCTCTGACCTCAGGCACATCCAAGTACTGGGCAAACAGAAAATAGTCAAAAAAGTACAGGAATGGGTTCTCAGATGTCAGGAAGTGGGACTGGCAAGCTCAGGGGTCCCCAGAGACAGGCATGAACATGGTTAGGTTTCTGTAGCAAAAGATTCCTAAGCAGCCACGGAGCTGGAGAGGAAGCCATGCAGCTATCACACACAACTATCCTAAGTCTAAGCATGAGCCAAGAAATATGCAGTTATGGCTCAGCATAGAGCTTCAAAACCGTAACCTCAGGCATCCTGGAATGGCCATGTTCCATTTTCTCTGTAGGAACTGTTTAAAACTTAAGAGACCTAAGAAGTCTTCACTTAGAGAAAGAATTTAGTGAAATAGGGCCAACCGTCCTTATGTTCTATATGTAAAAGCCAATATTTGCAGCGCCTCTGAATAGTAACCAAATGACAACAGAAGAAAGAACCTACTCAGTGCAGTCTTCCACTTAACACTTATTCATCCAAAATATTTTCCGGGAGAGGGACCAAGCAAACATTTAAAAGTTAACAGTCTAAAGAGATACACTAAAGCCATGAAAGTCTGTGAATTTGCTTCTCAAAAAATGCATGAAGTCCAATGTGCTGAACTGATTGACAGCCTGGAAGGCAAACATGCTAGGCTCTAGCTGCTTTTCCATGCAGTCTGTGTCATCAGGAGGACACAATTACAAAAAGCAAAGCAAGTGATTTAAATTACCAATGCTGTGAAAACATGGATCCTTAAAAGGGCCATCTGCTGTGACAGACACCTCTGATATGACAGACAGCCTCCGACTAATTTAAAAAATATTCAGGTTTGTATAACAAGGTTTTTTTTTTTTTCTTTTCTTTTTCTTTTGAGACTATGCCCCCTACAGGACACAAAGAATAATTCCCAACCTGAGGCAGGAAACCAGTCTTCCCGGTTTAGTATTGGAAATGAAAAGGCCTGCAAACCACACATGTTGTAAATCGAGTCAACACCATCCTCTCTAATGGAAAAGGGACGATGAAGCAGAACTGGTTTTACTCCGGAATGCACTACATCGTACATTACATGTGTAAGTTAGCAGTCTCTCCACCCTAAATTACAAATGCACCTGCATCCCACTGCAGTGCCAAACCAAAGCATGAAGTAACAGCTGAGCAGGGCAACCCATATTACACTTGTTACCCTGTGCCTGGGCTTCCCGTGCTCCCCTACTCAGCTATCCTCCAACAATCCAGATTTATCAAACTCTGAATTTAGACAGCCACAGGAGGCATCCTGTCACAGGGAACTGGGTGACAGATGCTGCCAGAAAGTTCTGCTCTTGCCCGTTATGTAATACTTCCCCTCTTTTACTTCACTTCCTTCTCTGCGCTTTGCCTCCTCGCTTTGCCTTTCCATTTCTAATCTCTCCAAGCTTGAGACACTGGGCTTGCTCTCCAACATTCCCTTTTCTCAATGAAATGCAACACATGGGCAATGCATACTCCTTTAGGAGCAGACTTCGAGACAGGTGAGAAGTGCTAACTGAACGGCAGCCTTCACAGACACCCCCCCGGGGGGGGGGGCTTTCTCCATTCTCTTCCTACTTAGTCTCCTAGGGCAGGTGCTCCAGCAACCACCTTGAAATTCACAGACTCTGTCAGCAATCTAATGTCACACAAGTATATTATGAATTCAGGATGCCTATCTTGTAAGCAATTAGTATAGTATTGCTGAATGCTTGAATTCTGAAATATAATAATATATGCACCAAAGAGACACTGAAAAGCTAACAATTTCTAAATTTAAAAAAAAAGCAAGACAAATTAAACAAACCAAAACTACTAAAAGTAGTATTTTCTTATCAAAACCACTTCCAAAGGTAGCTAACTGATTCAGCACAAGGTCTACTCTGTCACACACACACACACACACACACACACACACACACTACCTCCTGTCGCTTCTATACTGGCTCAGTGTTTCTCTCAATGTGTTTTTATTTGTTTTCTGAGACAGGTTTTCATGATCTATCCCAGACTGTCCTCAAACTGGCAATCCTCCTGCCTCAAAGTCTTCCAAGTCTTAGAACTACAGGTGGGTACAGCCACATATGCTAGTGCTGGTATTTCTGGCATAGAGTTTCTCTTTTTGCCAATCCCACTGCAAAGTTCCTATGCACAGTCACTGAGACCCTCCTTAAAGTCCATTATTTTCCAATAGAAAGGTGGTCATTGTGACTCCACTGAATTTAAAGTGTGGGTTTTCACTCTGAGACCACCACCATTTGCTTTTTTCAATGCAGGGCAAGAACAGAGTATAAAACCTGCTCTTGGCTGGTGATGAGCTCCTGGTTCTTGTCCACTTTAAACAGCATACTTATAAGTCTAAAACGCCTGAATTGAAAACTTCTCAATCAGACTTCCAGTTAAGTCTGTCTCTGTAGTAAGTTATCACAAATTGGGGGTTTAGAGGGAAGGAGGTAACTTTAGCTTAGTAGCTGGACAAATCTGGTTTGGGGGAGAAGTCTTTCCTTCCCTTTCTCTTCCTATTTCAGTGTTTGTGGGAGTCGAGGAGAATGGGGATAAAGAGGAGTAACAAGGGTTCAGACTGTGGCAGAGCACTGAGCTTGAGAGCCACTCTGTGATAACCTCACACAGTGGTTCCAGGGACACTGGGCTTCCCCTCCTATCTCAGCAGTCATCTGCTGTTCGCCCTCCTTTTGGCCACCTCTGTGCTGTCCTCAATGCTGACTTCCTATAGACTCTACTGCAAGAAGATTTGACAAGATCATGATCAATTTCAGCTGCTAGCTAGGAACATTTTCCTTGCCTAAGGAATGTCAGTAGTTAGCTGGGATGCAATGTTCTGTCATGAAACAATCTGTGACACACACAGTCACAGAGATCTTTATTCAAGAAGGCAGAGGAGATGGAATCATGGCTGACTCAGGAAGCCTAAATTCCATTCTGGTCAGGCTTTGGCCAAGTCATTTTGATTCACTGAGGTACAGAATGGCTGCTTCTACTTACATTACCAATGGGTACTAGGATGGATAGATTTTGTTCTGTTTGGTTTGGGTTATTTTTGAAATAAGGTCTCACATTGTAACACAGTATCCCTGACAGACCTGATACTTGATACATAGCCCATACTAGCTTTCAACCTGACTTAGCCTTCTGTGCTACTTAGATTTTTTTTTTTTTTGAGACGCGGTCTTACTTCATAGCCCTAGCTGACATGGAATTCAGAATATACATACATACACATATACATATATATATATTTAATGAAGTACTCTTCTTAGAAGAGAGATACTTTTTATAAACAGACAATCTTAACACAAACATCTATACTGTTGTATGAGAAGGATTGAGGTGAATTGCCATTGTAGGGCTTGGGGAAGCTCCAGCATCAGCATCAGCATCAGCCTGAATGCACACTCCATACCTGCACATTTGAAACTCTGAGCAGTGAGTCCTCGCTCCAAAGACAGTGTAGTCAGGATGCTCAGGAAGCTGGTGGTCACAGACTGGCGTTTGCTCTTCCGCAGCTCATGGCCACCTAGCTGATCCTTGGGTTTGTTCCTTAGTGTGACCTGCAGGTTTTGTTCGGAACTCCTTGCAGCGTTGGCTGCTGTCTTCAGAGCCTCCATCCATTCCTGAGCCCTCTGTCGGGTCTCAGCCCGGAGGCGGAGGACATCCTGGGGAAAAATGACTTGAAAGCAAGAGTCACAACCATCCAGGTTGTCTATCTGCACAGCCAGACACACATCCACATTGTAACTCAATAGGGGATCTTCATCTACCTTGCCGGGGTGGAAAGCCATAAGATAGGCCTTGCTCAGCACAAATGTAAAGGCCTTCCAATTGTTTTGGACAGTCAGTCTGTAGAGTGTCCCTGATTTGAGGATGTTTTGGTACTGTTTGGGGCTATCCAAGACAGGAGAGGCCAGCAACCCACTGGATTTCTTCTGTAAACAGTGGTTCTGTGCACAGTCAACATGATGACCAAGTCCTAGAGAGTTTGCCATCTCATCTTGCCGTCCCATGTAATTGGGCACAGCAGCATGCACAACTTCCCAGAGCTTCTGCCCCCAGTCCAATGCCTCCCACGGGGACTCTGCCTTTAGCTGCAGCTGAGAATTGTCATAGAGAACAGTATCTACCATCCTGGCCTCAAGATTGCCTAAAACAGATATGCTCTGGAAGTGGGAAAGCTGGTACGTGGCATACAAGCTTTGATTCCCGCTGCTATCAAGGCTGTAGAAGTTTAAGTTGTAGGGTGAGAGTTCTGCATAACAGCTTTGCCAGTAACTGTCATGGTTCTTCCTGATCTCCAGATAACCCTTCTTCAGTATGTTTGGGAATGTTTGCTTGTGTTCTAGAAAGAAGAAAAGAAAATTCAAAGTAATAATTAATTACAGGAAGGCAGGCACATGAAACCAATCATGAGGGGGTGACATCTTTCTGGTTCAGATGAAACAAAATAGAGACATTCCAGGGCTGCACCTAACTGGCAAGAGGTATCTGGGAAATGTTTTACCTCAAGGTAATGAACAAGTGCATACAGAATACATACAGAGTATACAATGCCAATGTGACCCTGAGGTCTGGGTGCCAAACAGAAATGCTGAGAACGCTGTGAACAGAGCACGTATGCCCTGTCCATTGGTCACACTGCCAGGTAAATTCTATAAAGATACAAAATACAAGGGTGCATTCCTGCACAGAGCTATTCCCTGCTTATACTCCTGTCTTTTCTTAGGCTGGTACCAGAAGGGGAGAACAGAAACAGTGTGACTTGTGCTGCGTTCCTCAAGCAAGCCCATCAGCCCTCAGGACAGCACTGGACCCTTCTATCCAGCACCATCTGTACCCTTGGCTCTGCTACGTCGAATTCAAGGTCCCTCCTCAGGTGGCAGTTTTCTCTCTGAGTCTACTGTGCTTATGCTGTGCCCTTGGCTTAAGAGGTTCTATCGCACTGCTTCAGTAAGTGACTACACACTTAACTTTCCTCCTGACCTCTCTTACCTTCCTTCATCTCATCGGGAGACACATGGCCCTGGTCAGCATCAGGCAGCCCTACAATATTATTCCTCTATCACAGGCTTTTATCAGATTATATTATCATAAGCTATTTAATGTCCAAACAAACGATATTTTAGCGTTTATTTTTTCAAGTCTGTCTTCACTAATGGAGTAAGATCTCTGTTCCTTTCTATAGTACAGCACACAGGACAACACCTTATCACTACAAAAACAGGTCCTTAGTAAGTACAATATTGTTAGGTAGGTACAGGAATATACTTGTAATGTCAGCACTGGGAAAATGAAGGCAGGAGGATCACAGAGCTCATGAGGCCAAGGACAACCTGCTACACACTGAGAACCATACTGGCCTATACTACAAGTATTGTCTTAAATAAATAAAAAATGAAAAACAAGAAGGAGGAGTACTTGTTAAATTAGAAACAAAGCTCCTAGCACAGCATCTAGCCCATGAGGAGCGTAATTCCCTTCCCATCCTCTTCTCTCCCTTCCGCTCACTTGCAAATTTATCCAGTCACAGTATCTTTACCTGCTGACAACCCTCACTGAATGCCATGTAGAACTTTAATAAAAGAGACTGTTAGTTCAGAGACCTCCTGGGAGTTTAGTTCTTGAGACAGGTTCTCTTTTTGTAGCCAAGGCTAGCCTCAAACTAAGATCCTTCTGCCCCAGTTTACATGCTGCCATGCCTGGACTCCTGAGACCTTGGTCTGCCATGAAAGAATATCCATGGGAGAGAATGGTTTTTAAAAAGTGACCTGGTAGAAATTTTAATGTCTAAGCTATTTCTTAATCTCTCTGCTGATATATTCTACAGACAGCCACAAACTGAGTCATTCCCTGAAGATAGATCACACTTGCAAAGGGGAAAAGAAAGGAAGGGAGGGAGGGAGAGAGGAAGGGAGGAAGGGAGGGAGGGAGGGAGGGAGGGAAGGAAGGATAGGTGGATGGACAGACGGACAGATGGACTAGCTAGCTCTCATCTTAAAATACTAAACCACCAGAGGAAAGGAGACACAAGAGGTGAAGAAAGGCCTGTTTCAGCTGCTTTATGTCTCTGGTCCTGACGTTAATTCATTACTATTTCTGCAAAAACTAAAACGTCATTAATTTCTCACAACACACACTAGTCCCTTTGTAGAAGAGATAATGGCTGCCTACTCTCAGGCATCTTGTCTGCTGACAACGCAGGAGGCAGGCAGGGCTGAGTGGCGCTGCTGCCCCCTTTGCCCTCTCCTTTCCATCAGGCTGCCTTCTCAGTCAGATTTCGGCTTGTGCCCCGCTCAGCCCTCCTGTGACCTGGCAGCTCAGCTGTCAGTCCTTGAGTGAAGCAGAAACCACCTCTCCTGCTTTTAGACAGAAATTACCACCTCCCTGTCTTACTTTCCTGAGAGCCTTTTACTGCAGCTGCTGGGACTTCCAAGCTGGACTCTAATTGTACTTCGGCCTAGCAGCACAGCAGACCCATGCTCACTCCTTTCTGAGGTATATGCTCAGATATAGATGACAGGTCAGATGGAAGGGACAAGAACTTCCACTAGGAAATCTCCAGGGTACTAAACCTAAAGTGTGCTCCAACACTGCTTCCCCACCCAACAGGAACTTGTATCTTTGTTCTCCTCCAGACTTGAGCCTGTGTGTCTGAGGCCAGCCTAGGATGCCATGGAAAATCCTGTCTCCAAACAACTAATACACAAGCCAGGAAGGCAGGAAAGGCAGGGAGCTCCTCAGGGGGCTAGTCCTTTCTCAGACCAGCAGTGTTCATATCATTTTTTCTTAAATTTTGTGTTTGAAGGATTAACCTTCTTTAACTATATGGGGGCTGGAGAACTACCATGTCTCTCTGATTTCTAGCAACTATTACTTCTATTTGATCTGGTTTATTTTAAATACTTTTTGCTACTGACAAATGAGCATACATACATGTGTATACATATATACATATACATGTACACACATACACACACATATATGTAAATTCATTATTTTGCTCTAGTTGAAGTGTTCCCTAGATCTTATCATTAATTTACACATACTTTTAAAGTGCTCAATTTCACACGAGAATTTCAATCTTAATGAATGTAAGTGATTCAGATAAATCAATAATAAGATTTACATCATTTCTCCGGGGTTGGGGGGGAAGATGCAGAAACATAATCTTTAAAAAAAAATCACCATAACTCACAACTTTCATAATGAAGCAACCACAGAAATTCTTCACAAAACTAAGAAGCAAGCAAGCCCACCCACCACCTGTACTCCCCACTCCCCAACATCACGGCTCACTTCCTCTTTAATGAAGGTCTCTTTCCTCTTCTCCTGGTCCTCCCCAGAGCAGTGGTAGCAGAACCATGACTGCAGCTAACTAAAGAGGAAAGGAGAACTCTCCTGCTAGCACCTGACTTACTTCTGCATGACCCGTCCACCAGATGTCCTGCCCACCAGAGTTCCTCTTTACCATTATTTCTTCATCAGTGCTCCAAAAAGTTTCCATTCCCATGACATCTATCTTCATCAAGAGCCAGTCTGCCTCCTTCCTGGCTATCCCATAGCTTTCTGGGTCTCTAAGCCCTTTCCATATTTCCTCTAAGCCCTTGCCATATTCCTGGCTTTTAGAATGTGTGAATAAACCCATTCACACATTCTAAAAGCCACACTATTACAAGCTCCCAAGCTTAACCTTCAATATTACATTATGGAAAATTTCAAACACCATCAAAGACATAAAGAAAGTGAAGATTATTCAAGCATTTGGGTAGGAAGATGGCTCAGTAGGTAAATCGAAATGAGGGCCTGAGTTTGGATCCCAAGCACTCAAGTAAAAAGCCAGGCAGGGGTGCAGATCTATAACCCCTGCATTTAGGGGCTGGTGAAAGGAAGGTCTTGAGGGCTTGCAGGCTAGCCAATCTAGCCAAAACAGTAAGCTACACATTCAGTGAGAAGCCTGTCTCAAAAAAACAAGGTGGAGAGAAACAGAGGAAGGCACGTGATCTCTGTTGGTCTCTGGTCTCCATATGCATACAGAAAAGTCTATCCACAAACATACACACATACATATGCATTCACCACACACATGGGCACACACACACATGCAGGCACACACATACACACACCATCAAGTTTCTACTATGTTTTGTTTTGTCACCTCTACCTCTTTAATTGTTGATTTTTATTTCACTATTTTCCTAGAATGTCTGAAAGTAAATTAAAGGCATGACATCATTTCAACTATAGATGTATCTCTGTCTGAACAATCAGAACTTTTTCTTTTTCTTTTTTTGAGACAGGGTTTGTCTATGTAACCTAGAGTGTCCTGGAACTCACTCTGTAGATCAGGCTAGCCTTGAACTCAGAGTTTTGCCTGCCCCTGCCTCCCAAGTTCTGGGATTAAAGGCATGTAACACCACCAGCTGACAAAAATGGGAACTTGCAACTTCATGGTGTTTTTTTTTTTTCTTTCACAATTCCACATTGATACTCCATGTTCCGAGGGGGACTGTCTGGCCTGATACTTCTGTAAGGTCTCTCATCCTTTCTCACACTCAATCCACAGCCCTCCCCATGTCTCTTCTATAAGCCTCAAGGCCTCTGCAGTTGCAATACTTTGTGGAATTTCTCCCTCTATTCCAATGCTTTATGTACTACCCACCTGGCTCTACCCCACCCCCATTTTCACCTCCGTAGTGAGACTACGCCTTACACTCAAATTAGAGAACCGTTCTCAGTCCTCTTCTATCACACCACCTTGCTGTAGTCTCTGCCAAGAACTCTCTCCTCCAAGGACAGTAATCCTGATGTCTTTGTCCCATTTAACAGGGGCTATCTCTATCAATATCTGTACAATGTATTAACAGACAACTTTGCTGGGATCTGTTGGGAGCTTTGCTAGGATCTGCTGATAGCCCACAGAAAAGAAAATGGATCTGAGAGTCCACACTATCTAGTCCAAAGTGCTCAAAGCCTTTCGACAAGTTCATCTAATGGGTTCAGAGAAGAAAGATCTCCATCTGAGAAGTTCTGTCACATTTTGAAGAGTGTCAATGTTGGACAGGGTGGAGCTGGTTATTGAGAGAAGACAGGAAGGCGAAGTGGCACGGAAATGGTGGGCCTTTCCTTATCGGTTTATACTCCATCTGTTCCCAAGTTGATCCTCTTTACTGTTCACATGTCCCACTTCCTTGTCCTTGCCACAGTCAGTCTGACTGAAGTCATCTCCTTACATGATAAAGGCTAGCAGCCCCTCCTACTCAGTCCAGCTGTTCTTTCTTCCTTCCTTAAGATGGAGTCTAGCTATTAAGTCCAGGCTAGCCTCAAACTCTGCTTCTCTTGTCA